ATAGGCTTCGGTATGAGGTGAAACGATTTCGAAAATCATATCAAATAACGATATATTCAGTTTATTTCATCTCTCTCGCCATGCTTCCTTTTATGGCTTTAAGCCTTTGATTCAATTTCTCAGTCTTAACTTTCTTTCAGTTCACAATGAGCTTCATTCACAACAATCCATTCAGCATGACAAACCACCAACACAACTCACAGATAATATCTTAGAAATGCTTCTCAGAAACCCTTTATGCATGTGCATTGAAGATGTAAATCAAATCATTTATTGCCAATAATTCCACAGAATCTATTAGTAATTCCATTGAATTGTTAAGAAGCATTAGCACTGGTGAATAATTACGTATTGACTCGCTTGCTAAAGCACAAGATTAACTAAATGCTAGCATAATTCGACTGAGCAACGAATTTCAGCGAATAAATCTTTGACTCAACAGAAGCAGATAACTGTGGAATCGAAATGCGAACAAGCGGTACTCTATCCACTTAATTTCTTGACGGCACGTTTCGGTTGAGTGCATTTACTGATAAATAAATCATCGGAACGCAATACTGTTTTATTTCAACATTTGTTTATTCTCTGAATTTCAATTGTAGTTTCTCAGTGAGAAAAAGAGACCTGAAATGAATAAGACAGAACAAAATATGGAATCGGTACCTGACGATCTTGATCAAGCAGCAAAGCGCCTGCTTCAACCAGCAAGCGACTGGTCTCATAATCGAACACCGGACAACGGATTTCAATTAGGTCCGCACCAAAATTTCGAAGAATTTCGCATTTATTTGGAAATCGACCATCTAAAAGATTTTGTTGGGAACAACTGTCTTCAACGTTTGCTTTATTCTACTGAAAAACTTATTTCTTATCGAGTTCCGAATTTAAGAGTGATGACCATTTCACCCGTGTAATGAATAATCCCAGAAAATTTTCAACTTTTTCTTGCACAATGGTGTTTTATTCCAATCTGGCATTGCCATATACTCAGTTTTCGGCTAAACTGTTACATATTTCATAGATCCACTTAGAACTGCAGTGATCTTGTCATTGTAATGAAATATTATTATTATGAAATCTTATTTTTGGATATTCTTACCAAATAAGTAACATGGTTATGCCATATATTGATCGTTCTACCAAAGCACACTAGCTAGGAGTGTGTTAAGAGCGTCGAAAATTGAAGTTATTTATAGCGATTCATTGCTTTTTATAGGGATACTAAAGCAATTGCGTAATTCCCTCAAAAATCGTCATTTTCGCTCTATTGATGTCCCATTTCTATGGGTTCTCTAATGATCATAAATCACGGAAACGCTCGCCATTTCTGGATCGGAACGAATCTCACAGATTCGTGTCCGTTTGTCTTGAGAGTTTATTCGATCGTTGATTTGATAACGATAGTAAAATTAGAAATGCTTGAGTCACTTTCAAGAGATTGCACTCTCTGATTGGGTTAATGTCAACATAGAAATGAATTATTCGAAGTAACAATGAATACCATTTGAATGAGCCAAGTGATATGCTAATTCGATAAGGGTCTGCGCAGTATCACATCCAGTTCGTATGATAATTTCAGCCCATAACGCATGTCCTTCCTCACAGTCCTCAGTGAACCTCTCATACCAAGCACCGCTCAATATCATCGGATCCAAACAATCGAAAATCGCCTCACAATCCACCAGATCTGCCTCGAGTGAACTCAACGTTCCTCCTACAGCCATTTTCGCAACGGCCAACAATTCACGTCTTGCAGGTGGTTGACGACTCGATGAGATTAAACGTAAATAAACATTCAAATTGGATGGCAACTGCGGCTCAATTGCAGCCATTAGTTCTTGTTCACCATCAGGAATTGTGAACTGATGAGGAAAAGAGTCGTGCGATGTGCACGGCATCGACAGCAAGTTCGCTTCCAGAGCCCGAGAATACTGATCAACGTAGAACCATGACCCCTGCAAATCACACTGAATCGATGGCAAAATTCAACGTGAACACAATATGCATGTATATCGATCTTCAGTATCAGAAACCGGATGAATAGATTGACTGCTAATAATTACCCAAAAGAAAACAGTTTCCTATTACGGAGCAACGAAAGGGATGGAACGTCCTGATGAAGATTCATTGGATTGAAACACAAAGTTTAAAAATGAATTTTGTTTTGAGGCAGTGGAGATAAAGAACTGGAAATGATTCGAGTAGATTCATCCACTAGAGGTGTTCGATCCATACCTGGCTGGCTTCTACAAATTGATTGACGTCCATTTGTGGTAAACGATACTC